GCACTTTCACAAAGTTTATACATACCGGGATCTTTTGGCCGGGATATATTGTTTAAACCCCAGTCTGCCCTTGTATTTCATTAGAGACTCATCTACACCAATATTTTTTCGTGGGGTGTACTTTGAGCCAAACTGTCTGTTGAAGTGGGAAATAAGGGGGCGAATCTTATAGAGATTATCGTATTGAGGATTATCTCTTGGGGGGCACTTCGAATTGTCGCTGAAGTGTAAAAAGCGAAGCATTGCTTCATATCTGGACCTATTCATGGTCTGGGAGTAAATAGGGGTGCTGCATACAGGATTTTTGGACCAGTACATCCTGATGCTGGGTTTTTTAATAATGCCCGTTAGCATTATTAGTGCACAATTTTTTTTTAATTCTGGCACACTGGTGGGGTACCAACTCCCTTTCCTGGCGATGAGTCTCTGATCATTAAGTGTCAGGTACTGCACAGCATAAAGGTTGGTCTGGATGACTATATCCCCTAAAATATCATCCCCCAAGAATAGCTGCATGAAATCCAGTGCACTCTAGTTAGTGACGTCCAACTGAATTCCAGGACTGCCAGTAAACACTGGGATGTCAGGCATGAAATCATTTATGGGTCACCAGCATCATGAGCCAGGTCAGGGGACTCAGTGCTTACAACAGAGGGCACTGCAGTATCTGGCGCAGTCTCATCACCACTCTCAGAGGCAGTGTCTGTGGCGTCAGAGTCGGCTGCTAGTATATCATAAGCCTTCTCAGCAGTGTACCTTCTAGACATTATGAAGGTGTAACTTTAACAAACTTTTTTTAAACTGTTTTTTTTTATCCTTTTTTTCTTTTTTATCGTTTTTTTTTTAAACTTTTAAAAACTTTTCAGAACTTTTCTAAACTTTTTGTCTCTAACTATCCTAACACTCAATTTCCCAAATTCCCACTAAAGTCCACCCACTCCAGCTAACTAAGGAATTAACGTTAAATTAATTAAATAACAAATTAAATAAAATTAACCTCTAAGGGTTAAAAAAAAAAATCTAAATTAACCCTTGAGGGTACAAAAACAATTAGATCACAGTTAAATACTGTGATCAGTATACTCAGGCAGTGATCAAAAGGGCAAGGAAAGGGTTAACACTGTTTTAAAAGTATTAAAATTACTTTTAAAACACAGATACACTTTAAGCTAAAATGGCACACAATGTTGCAGCACCGATCCATCTCTCTCCACTTCTCAAACCACACAGAGGTGGAGGGAGGAGGATCAGGAATCCCAGCAGCACTGTGATCGCTGTGACTGGCTGTCACAGCGATCACATGTGCTGGGACAGCTCTATTGGCTGGTGCTGGTCTACCTCTGACATCGAGGCACCCAGCAACAGCGTTAATGTTAGTAAATGACGGAGATTTTCCGTCAACGGTCCTTAACACACGGACAAGCTTGATGGAAAATCTCCGTCTTCGGTCTTCGGTCGGGAAGGGGTTAAGGACAGAGCTTCAGAAGCTTGTCTTTCACTTAATGACAACAGCATTTTTTTTTCATTTTTTGCTGTTTGCGTTCAACTGCAATTTGCATTTTACTAATTTATTGCACCAACACATATTATATATCGTTTTTTAAATGACAGAAAGGGCTTTAATTTGATGTAAGACATATATATATATAAATGCTTATTTATTATTAAAAGAAATAGAGAAAAATGCAAAAAAAATGAAAATATTTGTTTTTTTACAGTTTTTGCAATAATAATGTGTGCATAATTAGTGCAGGTTTAGGAAAGTAATTAAAAATAAATTCATTTGGCTGTTCTGATTTACAGAATATATAATGTGTCTGGGATTTGAAGCTTTTTTTGGTAGTTACAGGTCACAAAGCACAAGGCGTAAAAAAAGTTTTTTAATGTGGAGCGATTTTAGAATTTGGTATGTTTGTCTTGTAAGCTTAATAGCCATAAAAGAAAAACAAAATTGCCACACAAAAGTATATATTTATATAAAGTAGACATCACGGGCTATTTACCTAAGGTTGTTTTGACACTTTCTACGTAGCCATATTACCGCCAACCTCTGCTAAATATTGAAGTAAAATTGTGTTCTTTTTGGTTTTTGGCACACAAACTTATAACAGAGAAATTCTCGTGTATATTTTGTAAAGTTGGTGTGTGCTATTC